AAAAAAAAAAAAAAAAAAAAAAAAAAAGAAAAGAAAAGGAATGTTAGACATTGATTACTAGGTTAGATACCAAACTAGCTGATGTCCTACAGGGCAATAAAAATTATAACTGTTGAGGTTATTTTTTTACTGGATACACATGTTTTTCAGCTCTCTTGGACAATATCTACTTGTAGTTTCAGAGCCTAGTAATAATAAATAGAATAGTAAATAGCAACACCAAACTGTTCCATAATCCTTGAGATCTGGCCTAGTGGCTCACGCCTGTAATCCCAGCACCTTGAAAGGCTGAGACCAGAGGATTGCTTGAGCTCTGGAGTTTGAGACCAGCCTGGGCAACATAGCAAGACCTTGTCTCTAAAAAAAAATGAAAAGAAAGTACCTGGGCTTGGTACAGCGCCTGTAATCCCAGCTACTAGAGAGGCTGAGGTGGAAGGATCCCTTGAGCCCAGGAGTTTGAGGCTGTAGTGAGCCATGATCATGCCACTGCACTGCAGCCTGGGCAACAGAGTGAGACACTAACTAAAAAGTAGATAATTAATAATCTCTGGGTGGGCTAGTGAAACAATGCCCAAGAATGACATTGACAAGATATGCTACACTCTTGGTCCTCCCCCCTTTTTTTTTTTGAGTTGGTGTCTCACTCTGTTGCCCAGGCTGGAGTGCAGCCACGGCAGCCTCGACCTCCTGGGCTCAGGTGATCCTTCTGCCTCAACCTTCCAAGAAGTCGGCAGGCATCACCATAGCCCGGCTAATGTTTTGATTTTTATTGTAGAGACATGATCTCACCAAGTTGCCCAGGCTGGCCTTGAACCCCTGGACTCAGGCAATCCTCTCCTCACCTTCACCTTTCAAAGTGCTGGGATTACAGATGTGAGCCACCGTGCCTGGCCTTGGTCTTCCAATTTTTTGATAACTTTCATTAACAGTATGCTGCAACTTAAAAAAAAAAAGTTTATAGATTCACTCTGCCTTACTCTGTTGCCCAGGCTGGGGTGCAGTGGGACTACCATGGCTCACTGAGCCTCAACCTCCCGGGCTCAGGAGGTCCTCCTGCCTCAGCCTCCCGAGTAGCTGGGACTACAGGTGCACGCCACCACGCCTGGCTAATTTTTTATTTTTTACTTTTTGTAGAGACGAGGTTTTGCCATGTTGCCCAGGCTGGTGTTGACCTTCTGGGCTCAAGCAATCTTCCCGCCTTGGCCTTTCTTGGCAATTCTGATGCACATCAGAGGACCAGGACTTGAGAAACACTGCGCTAGAGACACTGTGCGGGGTGGTGTACATGCATTTAATACTCGCAGCCCCTTGTGAAGTATGCACCCCAATTTAGGAATGGAGAAAACCGACCCATTGTTACCTGACCGCTGCCCAGGTGACAAGGCAGTGGCAGGATCCCAGACACAATCTCTGGCCCGACGTCCCGCATCCGTCCTCTGCACCTGGGCACACATTCCGTGGGCCGCTTGCCCACGGGGGTGCAGGGTTGGAGGGCCATGACTCGCCCCCCGGCTGGGAGGGCAGCAGCCCAAGGCAATCGCCCAAATCCACCCAGGAAACTGAGGGAACTCGGGACTCTCCCGGAACCTCTTCACTCGGGGAAGGCAGGTATGGGGAACTCTAGTTTCGAAGGACCCCGCGCCGCAGGGGGACGTTTCACTTGGAGGACTGTCTCGTTTCAACAACTTTATGGCTCCCGGAAGTGCCTCCTCCCCGTTTCCTTCCCAGTCTCACGCCCGTGGGCGGTAGCGGGAGCGATGGCGGCGGTAGCCGCCGGCCCCGGCCTGGGGTCTGGACCTGGGGACTCCCCGGAGGGTCCCGAAGCGGAAGCTCCGGAGCGTCGGCGGAAGGCGCACGGGATGCTGAAGCTTTACTACGGCCTCTCGGAGGGGGAGGCGGCGGGACGCCCCGCGGGGCCCGACCCCCTGGACCCGACCGATCTCAACGGGGCGCACTTCGACCCGGAAGTGTACCTGGACAAGGTGTGTCGGGGGGGCGGGGAACCAGGCCCCCAGTTTGCTCCCTCCCCCAGATCAGGCCTCCGACTCTGAGGAGGATGAGCCTCGGCCAAGCAGGACGGGCGGAGCTGGAGTCTAGGGGGGCGTGGGCAGGCCTGGCTCGGCCTGAGGGGCTGCGGGATCTGAGGTCTCCTGGGCTGATGTTCCGATGGGCCGGGCTGGGGGGCGTGGCCCAGACGATGACAGTTACGGGACTGGGCTCATGCCGAGCCTGAGGATCTCAGATGCCGACAAACCCCCAACAGGGCCGAACCTCGTAACCCCCGAGCTTTGCCACTTGTAGGCAAGTCCAGGATTCTCGAGGAGATGGGATCAGGGTTTTCTAGCTGGGAGCAAAGTTTGGGGACAGGAGAGTATGTGACCTGAACACTAACCACCCGACCTCTCCAGCTGCGTCGAGAGTGCCCCCTGGCCCAGCTGATGGACAGTGAGACGGACATGGTGCGGCAGATCCGGGCTCTAGATAGCGACATGCAGACCCTGGTCTATGAGAACTACAACAAGTTCATCTCAGCCACAGGTGATCCCCACTGGGACACGCCCCTGGCAGCCTCACATCCTCCATTCCTCCCCACCCCCATGTCGGGAAAACCAGCAGAAGTTTAGAGGGAGGAGACTCCGATTCTGGTCCTGACCCAACACTGTTCCATGCTCACCTTCCTCCCTCTGAGGCTCTCAGACGGTTGCCTAAAGGACCCAAGTGGGGAAAGGACAGACTGAAATTTTTGGGTCTTATTATTTTGAGTCAGAGTCTCACTCTGTCTCGCAGGCTGGAATGCAGAGGCACGCTCACGACCACCGCAGGCTTGACCTGCTGGGCTCCAGCAATTCTTCTGCTTCAGCCTTCCAAGTAGCTGAAACTACAGGCGTGCACCCCCACGCCTGACTAATTTTTTATTTTATTTATTTATTTTGAGTTGGAGTCTAACTCTGTCACCCAGACTGGAGTGCAGTGGCCGCTCCCGGCCACCGCAGCCTCAACCTGCTGGGCTCCAGTGATCCTTCCGCC